ACTCCAGGCCCTAAGCCCCTAACCCTGAACCTTAACCTTAAATCCTAAACTGTTGTCTCCGTCCTTTACAAAGTGCTGTCGTTTCGAGTTTGCTGTCTTGTTCGAAATTCACTCAACATCTTGATTGGTTTATTGCTGTTTGGGGTCTTCGCTGGTGTAATATTTATATGTATAGCAAAAAGGTGATGCTGGCTTCTGTAGCAAAAGGCACCTGAACTCGTACCGGCGGATCGTTTAGACTCGCCTTGTGAGCTGCCAGAACAAGCACAGCTGGGAAGAAAGGGTTCCCGGGAGATTTCTGTAGCTTTGAGATGCTTTGAGCCCAAAGAGTGGCCCGGTTTTGGCAGTGCAGGTTGCAGTCGGTGCCTGGTGTAACGCGTGCAGCGCGAGCGGGATGCAAAAGAGTCACGGATCCACGGACGTTGGGCTGCAAAGTCACAGACCGACGTTGGCTGTCATCGAGGGGAACGGTGTCGTGTGTTGTGGTTGCTGCATGTGCTGCTGCTGCTGCTGGGATAAAATTGCGTCATTTTCGTGCAAGTGCGGTTCATACTTCGTGCCCACCAATTCTCTTTAGCCACGGTGCGAAAGTTCCGAGGCAGCTCCATCCGGATCACTCCGGCGCCGCAGCCGACGGATATCATCTGGGAGAATCAGGAGAGCACGACGTTAATCGTCTGTGACGCGAACCAAGACGGGTTGAGAGAAACGCTCCTACAAACCCGGATAGCGTTACATGTTTTGACAGATGCACCATAGCCGTAAGGCCAGCGTTAACTCAGGGTCGGGAAGTCCATGGTAGAGTGTCTGCACAGATTCACATGCAGTTATGTTTGTGCAGCAAGGAGGAGGAAAGTTCGTTGCAACATTCAAACATGTTCTCGTGACTCCAGCGCATCAGCGACAATTTTTCTAAGAGCCATCATCTTGCTAGCATTGCTAGTAGGCGTGTTTTAGCTAGCTAGCAGTATCACCAGTATGATTGTCATCATCATTATTATCATCACGGGAAGGCGACGGGAAGCACGAAGGTGATTCGGCTAGAACCCCCAATGTCAAGTCAAACATGATCAACTAAAGCACTGTGTTTGCTGGCTTCTAATGCTTGTGCGTTGAGGGTGTGTCTTCTTGAGTTGCTCGCGGGCTCTCGTCTCCTTTATGCGCTACGATCGGAATTACCGGAAGCTTTGCCATAGGAGAATGGCTTATTAGGACCTCGAGGCTTTCACAGCAGATTCAAGCTCTTTTGCTCACAGGGTTTAGGGTTTTCGGGTTTTAGGGTTTTAGGGTTTAGGGTATAGTGCTTCAGAGGTCGTTTCCCAGAGTCCTATCCGTGAGCATTCTCCGGTGCTTGCATCGCAAATGTCTTTACTGTGGTCGTTCCTGCAATCCTTTTCTCTTACCACTACAAGATACCATAAAAGAATACAGTACCAGAAAATACTTAACAAGATACTTAGAATGTATGCCTCGCTGTTGTGGGCGCATTTTTGGTGTTACATTCCCTGCTTAGTTGGGAGTCCCTGGTCTGGGGCCTGGCTGTCGTCGGTTTGCAGATATATAAATAAATATATATATATACACATATATATATATGTGTATATATATATACATATATGATAGTGTATATTCAACATATTCCAGTACAAAAACGCACGTTCGAGTATATTGCAGTATGCTATAGCATACTACAGTACATTGTAATAGAGTATGTACTAGTACATTTTGGTATATTATCGTATAATGTAGTATATTACACTATTCAGGATATTGCCTGGTACAGCCGCCTTTGGCGTCAAGCGCTTGTGCCGCTCGTCTGAAACACAGCTTGTGCTCACTGTCTCTGCTAAAGATGCTCCGAGCCGTTACGTATTATATCTTATGTTACTCTTATTACCTCTATGGAGGATGAGAATTGCGAGTAGCTACCAGCAGTGGATCACAAAGGCTGCTGCTCTTCGTGATCATCCTCTCCATTTCGTCCGCATCCCAGCGCTTGCCTTGCCCTTGACCAAGTCTTGCGTCTTCAAGCTGCCGCCAGAAGTACGTGGTCAGGACCGAAAAAGCACTTCGACGAAACGAAAAGGATCGAATCCTACCCGTACCCCTGTGCAGTTACTTTTATCTGCTTCCGTGCATCGAGCTTCTACAGTGGGCGATTGACGAGTGAGTATCCGTGGGAGTCACATAGCAGTCGATCCCAGATTATCACTGCAGGCGACGACAGCTACGTCCTTTGATGGTCATGCAAAGCGAAGCTTGAAACTCTCGTAACATCATGCACTGTTGAAGTTACGAGTAGCAAAGGCGGCGCAGGGAGTACGGAAGCGAGCACAGCCATTTGGCTAGGCCTGTTAGCTGGCATCTTCTTGAAGACTGCCTGTAGCGCCTCGAGATCTGAGGTTGTGTCTGATCTATGTGACCACTGTGGCGGGTAAAGCTACGGCGAAGTCACAGCCCGCCTTCCCAGCTAGGGTGACTGTAAGATTTGTGGAGAGTCGTTTGGTTGGGAGTAGAGCTCGATGTGCTGCAGGGCTTAAGCTTCAGGCTTAAGGCAAAGGTGCGTCCATCTCAGCACGCATCAGCAGAGTCTCTAGGAACAGGTGTCCGACACTTGAAGCTAGCCGATCTCGAGCGTAAAATGTTCAGCTTTTGCAGCACACTTCTACAGGGGCCTTTCTAATAATTAGAAAAAGGGTAGTGGGGTATATTGTACTATAAGCCGTGAGGGAGAATACTTGGAATTATTTAGGCTTCAAAATTCCATCGCTTGTTTCGCTGTGCTGCGAGTACCGAGTCTCCCCAGGGTCAGCTACCTCGGTGTGCCGGAGTGCGATCCTGCCGGCGATCAGGTTGACCTTCAAGGGCGCAGGGCTCAGAAGCCATCTTATTGGTAGGGCCTCGATTTTTGAATAGGACGTTCTTCCAGCTTGTGGGTTCGGGTTTGCCGCATCTGTCGACCTTTTGTCAGCCTTAAATCAGCATCTGCCCCAACCGCTAAGCCAGACCCTGCCAAGGAATGAGCAGTACAAGTGCTTGATCACAGTTGCCTCGAATTGGACGAAGCAGTACGCGACCGAGGAAGGCAGGTCTCATGGCAGTACTTATGCTTGCCTCGTGTTGTCATCATTGCCAATGTTATCACCAGCATCACCATCGTCTCGGTGATGCTGGGGGTTATGGTGTTGTTGTTGTGTCGTCCGACACGACAATGATGAGGATGATGCTGATCCGGATGATCATGCTGCTCCCTGATACCGGTGCTGATGATGCTGGTGATGCTGAGGACGACGATGGCGATGCCGATGACGATGGCGGTGATGACGATGGCGGTTGTGGCGGGGGTAATCATGTCATGATCGTGGAAGCCCTTGTTGCCTGAATCATATGGCTGATGATGTAAATCCTGCATTACCCATAATAATAGGAATATACCATGACTCCCATAGTTTAGGGTCCTTAAGGTTATGCAGGATGTTATCTCATCAACAGTAGGGCCATGCAAAGACCATGCAGGTGGCGACATCCTCAGCTGCTGGTGCACGGCGCAGGGCTACGAGGCGCTGTTCAGAGACCAAGGCCTGCCCGGAAAAGCAGTCTCCGGGGGGCTTTTGGGCTTGAGATTGGGGGTCCCTTCCGTGTTACGATTTGGAGTGTAATTAGGGTTTTTGGAGTTTGAGGGTTTGAAACTATGGTTTCGGAGGTCTTCCTGAACTGATCTTTCGACTGGCGGTGCCTCTGAGCTTGGCATGGTTCTCTTTGGGTTGTATGTTTTTTCGAATGTAGAATCTTCCTGCACGACAGATTGAGGGCTATGTAGTTTGAATCTGTGAAAGTCGGGACCAGTTTCGGTGAAGACACTGCCTTTCGGGAGCTTGCCACGTCGGATCAGATCATATCAATCATATCGTCACAGGGGAAGAAACACTCCCGTACCTTGCGAAGAGGTTCGTTCATGCTGCACTAAACATATTGGGGAAAAAAATAGTTGTTCCCCAATGTGTTTAGGGGGAACATTTGTTCCCCAATATGCTTAGTACAACCTACCTGTGTCGCCCTGCAGCCCTGCTGGACGCCTGCACTCCGTGGCTTTGGGGCCCGGGGCCCAGGGTCTGAGTCGCGCGCTCTAGCAGCTATACTGAGTATATTGTACTATATTGTACTATGTTATACTAGGTTATACTATATGATACTGTATTAACTTATAGTATAAGTATAGTATGATATAGACCTGCATTATGATAACAGTTTAACTGCAAGAGAGCATGGCGTGAAGAGAGCTTCAGAAGCGTGTGATGTTGAGCCAGCTTTCTTGCTGTGGAACGACCCGCCAAGAAAGCTGCTTTGAGCAAGCCATGCGCTTACATGTTTGCCGTTCCTGCCGCTTGTGTGACAGAACTGGCAACATCCGTGGGCATTGCTTTCGCCTCATCGACTGCTGGAAGCCCAGGGATTGCTGTGATTCTGGCTGGACTCGGACAGGGGTCGCACAGGGATACAGATCAGAGAGGCTGCATTGCTGCCGACGACTGCCGAACACGTTCTGTGTAGAGAGAGAGAGAGCGAGAGAGAGAAAAAAAATATGCCAAGTGCTCTGCAGGTGAGCGGCCCAAAGCAGCAGGTTGTCAGGTCAATAGGTCAGACTGGTAAGCCAGCAGCCTCACCCTTAGCGCCTTAGCACGGCATCTTTTGCCCTGAAGCCTCTTGAGAAACTCTCACCACCTTTTGGATCCTTGTCCCAAGCCATTACAGTACCACAACCTTCCAGCTGTTTGTTCTTCTGTTCCAAGACTTGCAGCAATGGGACTATCATGGAGCTCATTGATAGAGACCGCTCTCGACCAACTGCGGGAAGCAAGGAAGCCTCAGGCAGGGGTAGCTTCCGGAAGCTACAGTTCTGCATTTCTGGGTCCCTGCCTAGGTGGAGCCACAAAGATTCCTGGCTCAGCTTGAGATTGTTGCTACACTCTTGAGAGTCGACCTCACCGATCGCAGCTACCGCAACAACTTCACGCCGAACTATCGGGTCCTCTTCGACCGTCCAGGACCCGGGATGCTGATAAAAAATAAAAGGCCGAGTTGGGGGCGATGCATCTTCCCAAGGGCTGCTTGAAAACTGAAAGTTTGGCAGGTCGCCGGCTTTACATCTACGAGCTCTTCAACTGCTTCGACTGTGAGCCCATCTTCGTGAACGGCAAGCTCATCCGGATCAGTCAGGAGGCGCGACAGAAGGGAAAGCTCCTAAAGCGGTGCTACAACGAGTTGCTGGAGACCGTCGATGCCTACTTCCTGGTTGGGGCCATCCCAGACCTGGAGAAGATGCGGACGCTGCTTGCCCGCTTTGACAAAACCTGGGTGGACTTTGAGAAGCTCTACTTTGAGGAGAGCCTGCAGCTCCGGGCTAAGTCGGCTAAGTATTGCTAAGTGCCCGATTAGTTCTGCACCACTGGGAGCTTCAGATCTGCAACGCCCAGACGCCTGAACCTTGCATGCCTGGACCCTCCCAACTCCCCAAAAGCGCCTTCAGAAAAGATGTCCACCAAAGCCAAGTTCCAGGAGCTCTTCAAAATCGAGGCCGAAGCCCGGGCGCCAGTGGTTCGGGCCATGCAGCTGGAGCACAAGCTCCGGTGCCTTGGCCTGGCGCGGGGATAGGGTCTACGGGAAGGCAGTAGCGGCGGGTCGTTCAGGGAAAGTCTGCGTTTTGTGGGGTTGAGACTTTGAGAAGCTTCGGTTTTGCCAGGCAGCTGCAATTGGGTGTTGTTCGACCCTTTCAGATGGGGCTATGCTTGTGAGCCAAGACACACAAACTTTCTAATCCACACAGCACTATGCCCCGACCCAAGATCTCCTAACGCTCAGAGCGCCAAACTGTAAACCAACATTACCAATTAAATGCATTTTTTCCACAAAGCCCTGGCCTTAGACACAGATCCCTATGCCCAAAAGCCCCCCGCAACCCTTCAAAACCCTCAACCTTGTCTTTAATCAAGGCAGAGCCCCAAACGGTACTCAGGAGCCTGGAAGCCTCCGACACGCCGCAGCTGGAGGCTGGCTCCTTCCCTCCTTGAACCCCCGAGCCCGAGTCTCAAAAGACCCGTACGGATTGGGCGTTTGGGGATTAATCTGGAGATTCTTTTGGGGTTTTGGATGGGCTTGTTTGGGGTTAAGGTAGCCATGATCATGGCTCGCTGCATCATCTCAGAAGCCGTAGCCATGATCACGACAGCTCGACGGCCCTTTCCCTCGCTCCTTTGTCCTACCCAAAGGATCGGTTTGATGGCG